GGAGACTGCCCCCGAGAAGTGAGGTCCTCGGTGGCTCTCTGGAGGTCGCACAGCTGGGAGTGGCTGTCAGTTCCAGGATTGGGGCTGTCACTGTCCCTGGGATAGGAGGGGACAAATGCTATCCTGGGGCTTATAGTCAGGTTGGGGCAGGGGCACAGGCATATGCATGGGCAATTAAGATTTTAGATACAAAGTTCTTGGAAGCGGTAGCAGCATCTCCAAAGGATAAGAAGGTCTTGGCCAGACGGAAATTCAGAGAAGGGCATTCCAGGCAGAGGGCATGGTGCAGGCAAGACTGGGAGGAGGAGAACAGCCTGAGGCATGAGAGGAATTGTAAGCAACTTCGGATTGGAGAAGCGGGCTCCGTTGAGAAGTGATGTGAGAGGCTGGCAGGGACCTGATGGCCCAGTGTAAGCAGGTTGGAGAGCTTGGATTTTATTCTCAGGGCAATTGAAAAGAGAGGGGTATTTGACGGATTTGCATTTTGGGTTTTTGTTTGTGTTTTGTTGTGTGTAAAGAGAGGTTGAGTAGTCCAGTCTGTGAGCACAGTTATAATTGTATTTTCTTACACATAACATCCTTATTATTTTTCCTCCTTGCTAAGCTAATACATTGTAGAGAACATTCAAACATTGTGGAAATGTTTTAAAAAAGAAAGTGCGTCCTACCCCCATCCCCAGTAATTGCAGCCCCAAAGGACGCCCCTCAGTGTGCATACCCTACAAGATCCTGGACTCATTCTTTGAAAACGAAGCTATTTTTTAAATAGAAAATATATGTCAAGGTTCAAAATTCAAAAAGTCCAAATGGATATTTAGTGGAAATTCTTTACCCCTTCCAGTCCCCCAGCTACCCAGTCTGTGTCTCCAAGGCAACCAATGTAATTTTCTTGTGTATCCTTCCAGAGCTATTCTATACATGTACAAGAAAATAAGTACATGGATTTGTTTTATTTTTTTTACACAAATGGTAGCTATAACACACTATACACACTGCTTGCCTTTTTTGCTTACCAATACATCTTGAAGATTATTCCGTATCAGTACATAAAGAGCTTTCCCATTCTTTTATTTAACAGCTGTTGTGGATACACAAAAATTTGTTTCACCAGTCCCCTCTTGATGGACACTTATGCTCTTTCCAATCTTTTGCTACAACGAATAATGCTACAGTGAATAACCCCGTACATATATCATTCCGGGGGGCGGGGGTATCTGCAGGATAATTTTCGGGAAGGGGAAAAGCTGGGTCAAGGAGCACATGAACGTATTTGGGATCTGGCTAGATAATGCTGGCATGTACCAGATTGCACTCCTGAGAGCCACATGCAAGGGAACCCGGTTCCCCTCCTCCTCACCAACACTGTGGGTTCATTGATGACTTTGAAGCAGGGAAGTGACATGCCCAGGTTTTCATTTTAACAAGATCCCTCGGGCTGCTGCTGTATAGCATGGCTCAGAAACAGCGATTGAATTCAGGGAGACCCAGGAGCGTGGGGTGCCCAGCAGAGAGCCCCGAAGCACAAAACCCAAAGCTTGCACCCCTTCTCGGCATTCACCCAGACTCTGTAACCTGCTTCATCTAGTTATGGGGCCAGAGATGATGTAGGATTGGCTGTGAGGGTTAGTTGAGGTGCTGAGGAGGGAGTCTGAGGGCTGAGAGTGAGATCCTGAGAAGGGCAAACCTTGGGGCCTAGAGATTATAAGGGACTAGATTGAGAGGGAAATCCAGGGGTTCCTAACTTTGGAGCCTGAGACGGGAAGGGACACAGAGGGAGGAATGTGGAGTAAGAAAACTATCTAGAAGCTGAGGAATTCGTGGATGGGCACTGTGATCTGGTACAGAGCTAATTAATTCCGTTTTAACCATATTGGCTTTAAGATGAGAAAAGAGGAGAAAAGAAACATCTAGAACCTCTAGCAGGTTGTCTGAAATATGGATTTGAAGATCCAAAATGGTTGGGGTTCTGTAAACTTTGATTTCCCCATGTCCACAAGAGGGATAATAATACCCATCTCACATGATTGTTGTGAGGATTCAATGGAGGAGGAATTCATTCATTCAGCAACTCTTTATAGAGTGCCTACTGTATGCCTGGCTCTGTTCTAGGCTCTGGGAACACAGCAGTAGACCTACCCTCATGGAGCATTTATTCACATTGGGAATACAGAAAACAAGCATGTAAACATACAACATAATGCCAAGGAGCAATGAGTGCTAGCAGGGTAAGGGGAGAAACTTAGCTGAAGAAATCAGGACAGGACTTTCTAGGAATGACCTTGGGGCAGAGACCTGAATGAAGTGAGGGTGGGAGCCACTCAGTATCTAGGAGAGAGCTTGCAGGCCACGGGAGCAGTGAGTGCATGAAGAGCTCAATGCAATACTTGGTACATAAATGGAAACTAAGGGGATGAAGAAGACGACGATGATGATGATGATGATGTCGATGATAAAACCTGAGGAGGTGGAGCCCTTAGAATTTATCAGCTTTTTTCAGGGAGGAGAAGACACAAACAGAGAAATAAGGGAAGGGCCAGGACTGAGTCTGGGAGGTGGCAGGGGTGGGCAGATGAAGAGTCAGACTCCAAGAGACTGAGGAGGACGGCCAGGTTCCGAGGAAGAGCATCCCCCGCTGCAGAGGGTCTGCAGGATGGGGCACGTGGGGAGCCATGGAGCCTGGAAGGGCAGGAGGAGTTAGTCCCCAAGAAGCCAGAGAGTGGGCACCAGGCAAGGCAGGCGAAGGTGTCAATGGGTCCTTGTTCTATCTAGGGTCGCCATGGAGCCTGGAAGGGCAGGAGGAGTTAGTCCCCAGAAGCCAGAGTGGGCACCAGGCAAGGCAGGCAAAGGTGTCAATGGGTCCTTGTTCTATCTAGGGTTCCTCAACTTGCTCAGCCTGAAAGGGTCTTTGTGGACATTTCCTAGACCCATATTTGCCCTCCCCTCTCCTTAGCCCCATGCAGGAGCCGCTCGGTGTCTTTCCCAGCCCAGCTCCATTTCCCCAGCCAGGAATATTCCACTGATGCGGGTCTATATTTAGCAGCTGCTGTGAGGTACAGTCTGTTCTCGCTGTGCAGATCACAGGGAGCAGAGCCTGAACGGGCCTGAGAGGAAGGTGTGAGGGACGGGAGGGGGCGGGGTGCCACAAGGCCCAGTGCCAGAGGAGAAATTAATGTGTGTTTTAAAGGCCAGATCTGCCAGCAAGCCCCCCACAGGGGCGACGGGGATGGCATTTGCAGTCTAATGAGGCATCACTTGGGTTCCAGGGCCCCTTCTGTAGCATTTGGAGGGGACAACAGGGTAGAGAGAACAACAGCTGGAACTGGGGTGAGCAGAAGGCTGCAGGGAGCCGTGGCCAGGTTCTAATTACCAGCCCCACCCGTCACAGCCCCAGCAAGAATAGAGAGACTTGCTTAGAGACTTCAGGATATCTCTGAAAATTCCCAGGTGGGCCAGAGAGGTCCGTTTTCCTGGGAAGGAATGACACTAACCTTTGTGGAGCACTTCCAAGTGCCAGATCCTGGGTCAGGATGATGAACCAGATCTGGTTTCCACCCTCATGGGGCTTTTGTTCCAACAGAGAAGCCAGAAACAAATAGACAGCTACACCCAGGTGCCATGAGGTGGGACCGAGAGTCTATGGGAGTAAGTCGGACAGTCAAAATTGTATTGAGCACCTACTATATGCCAGACCCTAAAGATAAGATGGTGAAGAAGGCCAGTATGGGTTTCTGCCCAGTATGGAAGTTATTTATGGGACACCCAACCCAGGACCAGAGGAGGGGATCAGTGAGACATCCCCAAAATGTGAGACCTGCTGCTGGAAGCTTCATCTCATTTAATCCTCCCAACAGCCCTATCAACTGGATATCCCCATTTTACAGAATAGGAAACTGAGGCTCAGAGAGACTCAAGAGCTTGTCCAAGGTCAGATAGCATGTAAAAGATGGAAAGAAGTCTTGAACCATATCTATCTGACCCTGTAGCCCCTGCACATAGTAGGCCCTCAATAAGGGTTTAATAAATGAGTGAATGAATTTGCAGAGTCAGAAGGTTCCAAGAAGAGCTTCATGGACTGATTTGGGAGTTTTACCCCAGGCTCCCCAGAAGTGCACCAGCCTCCAGGAGGCTTCTCCCAGCATCAGGAGGCATATGGAGTAGTTAGAAAACGATGTTGTCAGCTCCCCCCGTCCCTACACTGGCCTCAGAGTGAGTGACTTTGCCATTCCTCCCACACCTTAAATCTGGGTGGGTTTTGGCCAATAGAATGTAGCAGAAGTGATGTTTATAAATTCCCAGAGTGGGCTTTAAGAGACATGAAGCTTTCACTCTCTCTCCTGGAACATGGTCCGGAGGCCCCCATAAAAGGAAGCCAGCCAGCCTGCTGGGGCATGGAGAAAGTCGCGCCACAGCCAGGGTCAGCTGCCAGGCATGTGCATGAGGCCATCTTGGGCCTTCCAGCGGCTGACCCCCAGTTAAATGCATGAGCCAGGGAACTCAATTTCTCTGTCAGCTATCTCCTGCCAATTAACAAACTGCCCCAAAATGTTGTGGCTTAAAGCAGCCATGGTTTATTATTTGTCATAATTCTGTGGGTTTGCTGGGGTCACTCAGGGTGGTGAGCCCCTGGTGGTCACCCCACTGTCAATCTGGCCATCTGCCCTCTCTTTTCCTCCCTCCCCCCACCTTTCCTCACTGCTTCCTGTCCCTCTGCTTCTCATTGTCTGGTGGTCTCAGAGTTCCAAGAGGACAGGCCCCAGCACACAGGCCTGATCAAGCCTCTGCTTTTGTCACACTTGCTGATGTCCCATTGGCCACAGCAAGTCAGGTGGCCCAGGCCAGAGTCCGTGTGGGAGGGGATGACCCATGGTATGGATTCCAGGAAGTATGGTTCATTGGGAGCTGTTACCATAGCAACCTACCACTGAGGGTAACCCTGAGGCAGTGCCCAGAGGCACCATGGGTACCCACCTCCCAGTCACTCAGAGATGGCACCTGATCATACACTCAAGGCTTCATCACCAGTTTCCAAAAGAGAAGAGTTCAGTATCCTCATTCCTTCTGGAGCTGGAAGTGGCAAGGCCAGCCTCATGCCCATGGCTCCTCACCCACAGGTGGGACCTCAGCCAGACCCCTGCTCCAAGCCCCTGGCTGAGCTTTTTGTAAACAGGCTCATGGAGTGAGATCCCAGAGGTAAAGTGACACGCCCAAAGCTTAGCACACAGTGAGTGCTCAGCTGGTCAGCTCCCCTCCCTGCCTTTAGACCTGGTTCACTCAGGGCCCCCCTGTGTCTGGCCTGGTGGCCCCTCCACTGTCAGTCTGTCCATCTGCCCTCTCTTTTCCTCCCTGCCCCCACCTTTTTCATCGCTTCCTGTCCCTCTGCCTCTCTCTTGTCTGTTTCACTGTCTCTATTTTTTTCTCTCCCACTGTCTCCTCCTGGGTGTGATTTCTCTCTGGCTCGACTGCTCCCCTCTGTTTCTATCTCATAGGTCCTTCACCTCCCCTTTCTCTACCTCTGTCTCCATGTGGGTGTCCCTTTCCTCTTGTCTCTTTCCCTCCTGCCTCTCACCAGGTTTCTGTCCATCTCTTTCCCCAGGTCCCTTTTTCTTCTCTCTTTTTCTCTCTTTCTTACACTTTCCTTCTCTATCTCTATCTCTATCTCTGTCTCTATCTCTATCTCTGTCTCTATCTCTATCATCTCCTTCCCTCTCTGTCTTCATCCTTTATCTTCTCCTCTATTGTCCCTTCTGCTCTTTGCCTCCTTCCACCACCTCCCAGAGGCAGAGGACACAACAGCCCCTCACGATCACAGTGTTGAGGAGCAGGAATAGGACGGGAAGGGGTAGATCAAGAAGGACCTGCTGCATGGTTGGAAAAAACAGCTTGCCTGGTTGGGACCGAGAAGAGCAAGAATGTTCCAGGGGCTTAGACAGGACCACCTACACAGCACCCCTCTGTCAGAGGCCTGGGCTCTACCCTTGTGCCATGTGCTGGGTGGGCGGGGATGCAAGGCAGGCTGGGTAGGGACCCTCCTTCCTTATTCCGTGCCAGCAGAGCAGGTCAGAGCATGGACGCGGGCCCCGGAGTTCCTGCTTGAATCCTGGCTGTGCGCCTTCTGCATGTGAGACCTGGTCAAGTGCTTGGCCTCTCCCTGATTCCATCCCCCCTTCTGTAAAACGGATAATCACAGCACCGTCCTCATAGGCTGCGGAGAGGATTAAGTGGGACAGTTTCCTTCAGGTACTCAGTGCAGAGCCAGGCACAGGGGACACGCTCATCGACGGTAGGGACTGTCATTGTCACCTGGGATTCTCATGAGATGAAACTCCACACCGTGGTTCTCAACTGATTGTGTCCCCAGGGCCATTTGACAATGCCGGGAGACATTTTTGGCCCTGGGTTTGGTGGGGAGGGTGTGCTGCTGGTGTCGAGTAGGTGGAATTATCCTGCCAAAATGTCCATAGTGCCGAGGGGGAGAAATCCTGTTCCTTGGGGAGGCTGTCCCACTTTACAGATGCGGAAACTGAGTTTCAGAGCGGTGGGGGGTTTGCTCAGGTCACACGGCCCAAAAATGGCAGATCGGGGGTCGATCCCAAGCTCATCTGCTTCCAGGACCCCCCTCTCCTCAGGGAGACCTGTCTGACAGGGGTCGGGAGGGGGCCTCCTGAGACACCTCGGGGCCACGTATACAGGGTCTGTGTGACCTTTGTTAGAGAGGAGGGTACACAGACCGCTTCTCCATGTGGTCCCACAAAAGCAGGGCAACCCCAGGTGCCCCCGCCCCCCTCCCCCCGGTTCCCCCAGCCACACGCGCAAACACACAGACACACACTGCAGCCTCTTCTCCCGTTCCATTGCCTTTATTGGAGTCTGGAGGCTGCTTGGGGACATCAGGACTGGAGATTGGGTTTTATGGGGCACATCATGGGGCTGCTGGTGCATGACTCCACCTGGCGCTCAGGCCCTGGGCACCACCTGTCACCACCTGGTGCTCGGCAGGTTGGAGTGAGTCATGGGGGGGAGGCTCTGAATGCCTCATCGACTCCCCGCTCCACCCTCGTCTCCACTGGCAGAGACAAGAACTCAGCCTTCCCCTCCGCAGCATCCATCTTGCAGTCACCCGCTCCTGCGCCCCTCTACCCCCGCCTCCATTAGCAGCTTGAAGAATTGTCTGTTCCGCCATTAGCTGGTGCCTGGACAGAGAATCTGCGGCCAGGCTGGGGGCCAGGGGCTGGGGCTCTGAGGGCACGGGATGACGTCATCATGGAGGTGTGTGTGACAACGAGTGTGTGTGAGAGTGCATGAGTGTATGTGACCACGCATGTGTGCTTATGTATGCAGCACATGAGTGGAGGAGACATGCCTAGTGTGTGACTCCACAGTGAGTGCACCGAGTGTGGGGGCGAGTCCAGTTCACTTTGTTAAACACTCGCCAAGCTGTTGCTCCGTGCCTGGCTCTGGGCTGAGTGCCACCCACAGAGAGGCGATCAGGCACAGGCCAGGCCCACTCAGGGAATATCAGGGCTCACCCTCACATGGGGACCTGAGGTCCCGGGAGGGGGGCACACAGTGGCAGGTTAGTCCCTGTGCCTCTTTTTAGTAAACCAAAGTGTCCATTCTGGTGCGAGTGTGTGATTATGTATGTGTATGCTTATATGTGTGAGTGTGTTTTTGAAACTATATGTGTGTATGAGTGTGTGTTTGAAAGTAGGTATGTGAGTATGTCTGTATATAAGTGTGTGTGTTTGTGTATTTGAAAGTATGTATGAATCTGAGCTGTGTGTATGTGTGACAGTCTTGTGTGTGAGTGTATGAAGTACAGAGTGTGAGTTCACTGTGTGAGCTTGTAAGCATATCTGTATGAGCACGTGTGTGTGTGTGGGGGGGGTGGCTGTTGAGCTTGCACCTGGACTGTGGCCGGGACTGTGTCTTCTGCACGCCCTGCTGAACGTGAGTGCACCAGCCTCTGCCTGTGGAGGGGTCTCCATATCAGCTGGCAGCCGATGTGGGCATCCTGGGCCTCACCCTACTGTGTCCACAGGCGTGATCCGGACTGCGGTGCCTGACCTCGACCGTGAGAGCCAGGAGCGCTACGAGGTGGTGATCCAGGCCACAGACATGGCAGGCCAGCTGGGCGGCCTCTCCGGCTCCACCACCGTCACCATCGTGGTCACCGACGTTAATGACAACCCGCCCCGTTTCCCACAGAGTAAGTAAGGCCTTCCCAGAAGGAGGCAATATCTGTGCGTCTGTCTGTTAGCTCGTCCAAGCCACCCACCGACCCCAAGTTCCCTTTTGGCTTCCCACCAAGAGAGGGACTCCCATCCAGCTGTCTGTCACGCCCCCAGGCCAGCCACTTGCCCCAGACCCCTTCCGGTCATGCTTTGTGCAGAGGAGGCCCCAAAGGTGTCTGATTTTCCATCCATCCAAGTAACACGGTGACCTCCTCACCCCTCACCTTGGTTCCTGCCGGCGGGGAGTTCCCATCTGCCCACCCACCCAACCCCTCAGGGCCCTCGCACACACCCTATCACGATCATTGCACGTGATCTGCCACTGGCCCAGGCTTGCACAGGAGTGAGGGCAGACATAGGGATACGGAAAGAGGCTGCAGCCATACCCAGGCCACGGGACTTAGTTGTGCCTGGAGACCCTGAGGTCTGGAGTGGCAGGTCTTACCTCCTCCTCTGACCCTGGAGGGCAGGATTCTGTGCTTCTGAATTATGAGGTCTTCTCGCTCTCTGCCTCTCCTGGCACAGCAGGGGATGGGAGTTATCTGGCCCAGTCTCCCACCCACCCATCAGCCCGCTAGCCCCTCTGTCCCAGGCTCAGGCGAAGAGCTATGCCAGGGAAGCCTGAGGCTGGCAGAGACTAAATGCCGCAGGGAGCTGGGCTGATTCCTATCTGGCGAGTCATTACTCAAGGTCTGCTGCTCTCACATTAGGCCCCGCCACAGGGGACTGACCCCCAGGAGATAAGGGAATCCAATCCCTTAGCTGAGAGTGTGGCAGCGTCATCTCGGCCTCGCGCCTCAGCCCAGACATGGAGCGGGGTGGGCACAGAACCCTCTGTGGGGAAGCTTCGAAGCACCGGGTAGAGGAGGGGGAGTCACCCAGTCTTCCGCCCAGTTGTGCCTGGCTCTGTGCCAGCGCTGAGCTGGAAGGGGTGGGGCAGAGAAAAGAAAAGGCGCCAGGGCCCCAGGAAAACTCCTGTTTATTCATTCCTTTATTCATTCTTTATCCATCTCTGGCATTTCTTTATTGGGAAATAGAGCACACAAACAGAAGGACGTAACGTATCAGTGTAAAGCGGCCACTCCTGTAACCACCGAGCAGGACCCCGAAGCCCCCACATGCCCGCCCCCCCCGATCATAATTCTCCCCCACTCTTCCTCTAGAACTAACCAGAATCTATCTGCTCATGGTCTTCACCTCCTGGCCTTTCCTTAGGGTCAGTGCACCTACATGTGCACCCCCTAACATCAGTTTCATTTCACCTGCTTTTAACCTTATATAAATGGGATCACACCATACAAAGTGTTTGTCATGCTATTTTGCCTCTCAAAATTACATTTATGGAATCATCTGTTGTTACTTATAGCTGTCCTTCGTTCATTTTCATTGCTGTAGAGTAGTCCGGAGTTTCGCTGTTCTGCTGTTGATGGACATTTGGGATGTTTCCCGTTTGAGGCTGTTATGGAGGATGCTACTTGGAACATTGTTGCACAGCTCATAATGCTGTTTTGCACACATGTCTCAGTGAATATACAGAGGAGCAGAATAGCTGGCTCATGAGATATGCTCATCTTCAACTTTACTAAATAAAACCAAACTCTGTTCCCCATGAAGAAATGCGAATGTGGCCCTCGCTGCTTTGGTTCAGTGGATAGAGCGTTGGCCTGCAGACTAAAGGGTCCCGGGTTCGATTCCAGTCAAGGGCACATGTCTGGGTTTCAGGCTCGATCCCCAGTGGAGGGTGTACAGGAGTCAGCTAATCAGTGATTCTCTCTCATCACTGATGTTCCTAACTCTCTCTCCCTCTCCCTTCCTCTCTGAAATCACTAAAAATATATTTTTTAAAAAGAAAAGAAACGCATGTGTCCATTGTACCACATCCTCACTAGCCCTTTGTACTATCAGATTATTTCATTTGTGTTAATCTGGGGAGGATATACCAGTAACTCACACTGCTTTTCGTTCATTCACTCACTAGTCACTCACACATTTCTTTTATGTGACAGTCTGGTGTTCTGCCAGGTACTGAGAATGCCGGATGAATAAGAGATGTGGTCCCTGCCTTCTGAGAGAGAGAAAAGAGAGAGAAAATATGAGAATAAACAAAGAGTAATAAGTAATAGGGAAATGCAGTAATCCTCACACTGGGATAAGCTTGGGGGCCTGGGCACACAGGAGCAGAACCTGGAGGTCTGGGGATGTTCCCTGGAGGAGGTAACATTCTGTGAGACTAAAGGGAGAGTGGGAGTTGAGGAGGCAAAGGCAGGGAGGAGAATACAGAGCGGAATGCCCGGAGGTGAGGCAGAGCAAGTCATATTTAAGGAATTACAAGGACTGCCGCCTGGCTGAAGCTAGAGTTGGAGTGGGGCAGCAGGGGGATGAGGCTGCAGGTGTCAGCAGGAGCCAGCCAAGGGACTTCTACAACTCCATCCCGAGGCAGTGGGGAGCTCTGTGAGGGATTAAAGCAGGGAAGTGGCATGATCAGCTGTGTCTTAGAGAGAGAGAGAGAGCCCCCCCCCCCCAGCTACTGCGTGAGACTGAGAGGCACCCAGTTTACACAAGGGGTATCCAGACCTGTGTGGGGACCTCAAGAGATAGCGCCCACCTCCACAGCCCCTGCTTCATCTGCACTGGCCCATCGTTTAGCAGATCTCCCTCACCTCAGCCTCAGCTCTGGGGAGAGGTCAGGGTGCTGTCTGCGCTCCATCTGACCGCATTCCTTCTGGTTTTCCATCTGCTTCGCCCCTGTGGCCACAATGGTCATCTTGCCATTCTTCAAGCATCCCAGGCATTGCACCCACCTCAGGGCCTTTGCACCTGCTGCTTCCTCTGTCTGGAATGCTCTTTCCCAGATATCTCCTTGGCTCAGTCTTCTGCAAAAATGTCGCCTTCTCAGTGAAGCCTTTCTTGATCACCCTGTTTAAACGTCCACACACACCCTCATCAGCCCTCCATCCCCTCCCACTGCTTCATTCTTCTCCTACGTACCCATCACCATCTGACACATGCCTGTCTTACTGATGTGTTTAGCGTCTTTCTCTTTCCATTAAGAGGAAAGCACTGTGGGAACTGGGATGTTGGTCTATGTTATTTGTTGCTGTAACCCCAGTGCCTAAAACTGCATCTGAGACATCATAGCTGCTCAATAAATAAGCAGAAATCAATGTCAACAGAAAAGTCAGCATAAAGCCTCAGTTTTAATATAATTTGTTCCATTTATTGAGTTGCTACCATGTGCTAGGCAGTGCAGTGCGCATTTTGCAGACATTGCCATCTAAGTTAATCGTGATAACAATGCTGTTAGGAAGACACTGTTATTCCCATTCTACAGAAGAGGGATTCAAGGTTCAGGATTACATAGCCAGGACTGACTCCAGAACTTTAGCCTTGACCATGGTTCTCCTTTCTCACCCGCGCTGGGCAGATGGGGAAGCTGAGGCCCAAAGAACTGCAGGCACACTCCCAAATTAATCAGCAAATAAACCCAGGGCCCGATTTAGGGCCCCTCTCTTCGCACTGTCTCCTGCATTTCTGCAGAGGACATGCCTCTCCCAGCACCTTCCTGACCAACCTGGGAGCCCCTTGCAGACATTGCCCTCCCTGGAGCCCATCGGGGCCCCCCTGCTCTCCCCTAGAGCTGGTGGAAGCTGCCCCCATCCCTGCTCACAGCCGTATCCCCTACAGAGATGTACCAGTTCAGCATTAAGGAGTCGGCCCCCATTGGCACAGCCGTGGGACGCGTGAAGGCCGAGGACTCGGACGTGGGTGAGAACACGGACATGACTTACCACCTCAAAGAGGAGAGTGGCACCGGTGGCCATGTGTTCAAGGTCACCACGGACAGCGACACTCAGGAGGCCATCATCGTAGTGCAGAAGGTAAGGCTGCCCCAGGAGGGATGGGGGAGGCAGGCTCTAGGGCAGGGGTGGGGAGTATCCAGCCCGCGGGCTGTATAAGGCCCGAGAAATCATTTGGTCTGGCCCTGCCAAGGCATTAGGGTGAGTTAATTAAATGTTTGACTAAATAGAGCAAGCTAATTTTTTTGAGTTGATAATTTTGTATGGCCCGAGAATGATGTTATAAATATCCAAATGGCCCTTGGCAGATAAAAAGGTTTCCCCACCCCTGCTCTAGGGGATGGAGTCAGGGAGGCCGCTGACAGCCAAATACTCCCTCCCGACTCCACTCCAGGGATCAGGTCTTTACAGAGACCCAGGGCCACCCTGGGAAAATGCTGATGGTTTCCTCCCCATTTTACAAATGAGAAAATGAGACACAGCAAGGTTAAGTGATTTGTCCAAGGTTGCACAGCTAGTTGTCAGGGCCAGGGTTCAATCCAGATTTGAACCAGTGCTTTTAATCACTACTAAGTGCTACTTCAAGTCCATACCAGGACCTTTACCTGCATCATTTCCTTTAATCCTGACTTTCTCTCTGAAGGAGACATCATTAATGTGCAATTTCACAAGTGAGAAAATAGGCTCAGAGGGGTAAAGGGGCTTGTCCAAGGCCCCACCTATAAGGGATAGAGCTGGGATTTGAACCCAGGTCTTGTGACTCCAAGCTCTCTCTTTCCTGAGTCTAACAGTCTTCCTCACCCATTGGCTTGTCCAGAAACCAGAAGTCAAAAGTACAAACTCAGTGAGTCCTAGAGGAAGAAGATGAAGGTCAAATAGAGAAGCAGAATCCATTTTCCAAGACATGGTCATGGGCGTGGCAACTCAGGCTGTGCAGGCCTTTGAGACTGTCCACTCCAACCCTGCTCTCCCGAAGGAGGTCAGATCCCCTGCACTGGCTCTTGGAAGGGGGTAGACCTTTGTACACGTTCAGGGACAGGATGCTCACTCCCTGTCATTGTCCAGCTCTTCCTCCTCCCATTAGCCAGAACCTGTCTCCCTAAATCCATTCCTATCAGCCTGGGCTTTGCCTTCTGGGACCCACAGAAACATCTGTCCCTGACAACCCTTCATTCACTCAATAAGTGCATTCAGACCCACTCTCTAGCTGACCTTGAGCATAGAGAAAACTGCCAATTTCTTCAACTACTTCCCAGAGGATAATAATATGATAGCGGGTATCCTATATAATAAAAGGATAACATGCAAATTGACCCTAATGGCGGAACAACCAGTCACTATGATGCGCACTGACCACCAGGGGGCAGACACTCAATGCAGGAGCTGCCCCCTGGTGGTCAGTGCACTCCCACAGAGGGAGCTCCGCTCAGCCACAAGCCGGGCTGAGGGCTGCGAGCACAGCGGCGGTGGTGGGAGCCTCTCCCACCTCCTCAGCAGCACTAAGGCTGTCCCAGGCTGCCAGAGGGATGTCTGACCGCCAGGCTCCCTGGGGGATCGGGCCTAAGCCAGCAGGTGGACATCCCCCGAGGGGTCCCGGACTGCAGGAGGGCACAGGCTAGGCTGAGGGACCCACCCGCCCCAAGTGCACGAATTTTCATGCACCGGGCCTCTAGTTTATAATAAAGTGTTTACAATGTGCCAGGCACCCTTCACCTGCTTTCCATGTATTAATTCATTCCATCCCTACATCGTCTCTTTGAGGTACTATCATTGTCCGTTTCATAGACTCCAAGGAGTTCCATCCTGTGCATCCAAGGTCATGCATCTTGCAGAGCAGAGTAGGGATGTGGGCCCAGGCAGTCTGGCTCCAGAATCCACCCTTTTAAACACTATGTGGTTTTCAGTCTTCTGATCTCGCTGTACAGTGAGTCTCCGCACTGTAAGATGGGGAATTGGAGGCCCAGAGAGGCACAGTATCACAGAGCAGTAGAATCAGGCTCCATCCCCAGCCGTGGGGCTTCAGCATAGCACTTGCTTGCTCTCACCCCCAGTGCTGTGCCCCCCCCCCCACTCAGGGCCCCTCCCTCCAGCTCCAGCACTGGCGCCTAAGGTGTCTCTGTGGAGTCAGTGCTGGCTCAGGGAGCAGAGCCCTGCCTGATTGATGACCTGGCTCCAGAACCCATCGCTCACTCTCAGGCCAGGCCACTGCCTGCCTCCCTGCATCCTGATTTCCCAGGCAACAGGAAGGAGGAAGGAAGGAGGTGGCAATTTTTGCTGCTGGAAAAGGTGGGGGGTGGGAGGTTCTGAGAGGAAAGGCGGGTCCCTACACACCAGGCTAATCTCTAGGAAGGTCACCCTTGTACTCAGAGAGCTCCCCCACCACGCAACTGAGGTGCCTGCAGCCCCACCATGGCAATTTCTCTTTGCTGTCAGGCGGCGATTTTCAGCATTTTTCATCTCATGGCAAACATAAACTAATTACTAAAATTCTGCGGCGTACCACACAACATATTATAATTTTTGCCGATCTGACAAAAAGATAGGTATGATCTTGATTCGTTCACACCGGATGGCTATTGTTGTGTTGGCTCTTGTCATTTTTTTCTTTGACAATCTAAGGGGAAAGAGGTCAGTGCCCCTGACTAAATAGTCAGGTATTGCCGGTGTTAAAAATTCTTGTGGCACAGCGGCTGAAAACCGCTACTGTGAGGCATTGTCTTTAGAAGGCCAGAGCCAACACAGCCCCGGAGCTCATTCATCAGAGGGTCACCCATCAGCACTCCCGATGAGAAGCGGGGCTCAGTGTGGGCTTAGCCAGCTCTCTGGGAAAGCTCTAAGGCAGCCTGGCTTAGCCGGCTCAACTCGCATTAGCTGCCGCTGCCTATGTACCAGGGAATATGGCCTCTAATCCTCCCACCTGGGGCCCCGAGCAGCCAAATAGATGCCCACAAACACACAGCTGGGCAGCAGCAGAGCCACCACCCTTTCCTCTTGTGGGGTAAGGACTTGGGAGCCACACTGCCTGGGTTTGAATCCAGCCTCCGCCAGTGACTACCTAAGTGATCTTGGGCAAGTTACAGACTTCTAGACCTCAATTTCTTCATGTGTGAAATGAGATAACAGTACAAGCCTCGAGGGGTGTTGTAAAATTAGACAAGTTAATATGTTTAAAGCCCTGGCACACAGTAGGCGCTTTGTAAATTAAGAAATGAAATGTCCCAACATACCGTGCTGAGTAGTGAAAGTCAGGATGTTAGTACGGTTTAGCCCTGAGTGTCTGTGTCCCAAGGCAAGAGGGTCCTGCTGGGACCTGTAACCAGAGAGCGGTGGGTCTGCACATGGCCTGGGGCCAGCCCTCCCTCTGGGTCCCCCCCGGGGGGGGGGGGGGGGGGTCAGTCAGGGCCCCAGGGGACTCCGCCCGCTCACTGGCCCACTGCTTCCTCCTCCAGCGCCTGGACTTCGAGTCCCAGCCGGTGCACACGGTGGTCCTGGAGGCCCTCAACAAGTTCGTGGACCCCCGCTTCGCTGACCTGGGCACATTCCGCGACCAGGCGATCGTGCGCGTGACGGTGACCGATGTGGACGAGCCCCCCGAGTTCCGGCCGCCCTCCGGCCTCCTGG